TACTTTAATTTACATTCTTTGAATGTGTTAAGGTGAGTTTCAAATACCATACCTACTGTAGTGTACATTGTTAGGCTTAACATTCTTCAGATATTTGTCAGCTTACAAGTGCTGCACCTGAACCGGTGTGCATTTGTACAGGTACATTATGTACATTTGCAGGGCCCTTTTTAGGCCCTGCCTTTGTACCATATACATGTACCATTGTTTTTCTCTGGAGAGGGGAGGGTCAGGAGGGTGAGATCTTTCAACCACTCAATCACTGTCACAGACCTTGTAGTTGTAGGTGTGCACAACCATGGTACATCTACAGCGTACCTGTATAGGTTGTTTGGAGTCCTGATTGGGCAGGTGTACTGGTATTCAGACATAACATACCGGTAGACATTTTACTACATGTACATGCATATGGGTAGGCTTTGTCTTGGTAAAGGGACCAATTTCTTTGGTTGGGAAATTCAGAGCTGAGTTATGGGGGCAAACATCCACAGCATTTTCTGTCCCCATCCAACTGCAAAACAAGTATGGGTGTAAACGGTACACACTTGTACATGTATTTGTGTACAGTGCACTGGTACACACACTTTTATACAAAATTACATGTGCATTGGTACATACACATTCAGTTGCAAAAAAGAGACCGTGTCACATTTTATGTTCTACGGAGTAAATCTTGTGTTCAGGCTGGGTGAAGGAGGGGCTTTAATAGTTGGATCTTGGAATGCAAGTGTGCACCTGATAAACTGCTGTCGTTGCAACTGACTCGTGAATGTGTACAGTAATGTACATTTACATGTGCGTGTATCTGTACCTGGGACATGTACATGTACGTGTATGAGGTACGTGTATGGTACATTCCGTACTGGTATCATGTGCATGGGACATGTACCGTAATACTGTCATGCACTGTTGCCACATGACTGACTTGACTGCCATTGCAAAGAGAAGAATCTCTACTCATGTCTGCTGTTGACAGACGTGGTGGATGTATATGATATGCAAGGTACGGGTATTGTGGCTTCAGTTGCTCACCGGTATACATGTATAATGGGATTTGGTGCACACAGGATATTTATTCTTAGCCGATTACACCGTTTCCTGACTCTGGTGTTGCTTTCCTCTTCCTGCTGTCATGGTTTGCAGCCCACGTGGAGGTATCAGCCTCACTTTTGTGTTGGATACAAGAATGGACACAGACATGTCACACTGCGTGGTGTTCTCCTTGATGGATACCAACCTGTATCAGCAAGGGCATTGTCTTTAGTTGAGATATCTTGTCCACATTTGTGTTCTCGAACCTGTTAAGCACATTGTGTAGATGTACTGTACATGTAGATGCATAGAGTAATGTCAAACTTCCGAGAAACTTCACTTGAATTGGTCCCTGGGCCTTTTAGGTCAGTTTTGGAGATCTGTATATAGTGTACAATGTACATGTACATGCCTAAAACATTAACAGCAACTGTTTCCGGTATCTGCTGTATAGATTTTGGAGTTTGTGGACAACAAATTTTATAGCGATCACAGCATTGGCTGTTGCAACTGTACCAGTCCATACTTTTGAGTCAGGACAAAATTACAGACTACATGTAACATTAGTACTTCATGATATTGCTTTGTGGTGCTTATTGTAAGGTGGTGAATCTATTGTACGAAACTACTGCCCATCAACAATTGAGTGTACGTGTGCATACATGTATATAAATCATCCACGTCATGACTACACAACATTTTCCCCCACATCATCAGGAAGTGTTGCCGAGTTTCTATGTCTGACCAAGTATTGACTCATGGTAGGCCGGGGGGGGCGGGGAAACACAAACAGGGAAATTCCCCTGCATGAATGAAGCAAGCTACACACACACACACACCAGTGGTATTTCCCTGTGCGGTGCAACATTGGCCTTGCGATGAGGTCAGCTTGCTAAACTTAAACCAATTCATTGTCGTCAACTTACATGTATCCTGGTAGCTGACTGCTGAATCAGGAGCGGCCAGTTCCTGTTCTTTCCCCATCCGATGCAGACGTTTGTAGTTTTGGTATCAGACTCTAAAAAGAGTTTTTCCTTGTGGGTAACTGCATTTTAATGATCACGTCGGTAAGTTTGATGTATTCAAAGCACAACTTGTACATGTATATATACCGGTAGGCCTACCTTGACTCTAGCATTTCATGCTTGTTGATTTCAGTGGTGGTGTTAAGTAACTGGACACAGTTATCATAGAAATAGAGAGATGAAGAAGCTTCACAATTCAAAGTGTTTTGCCTCCCTAACATGTACGTACATGTACATGTTGACCCAGGTACATGTACATTAACATGCATACATGTACTATACATATACTTTTCAAGTCCTTTATTACATCCGGTCTTTTCTCATTAAATTTGTGACTGAATTCTTCAAACTTAAAGATGAAAACACATTGTATACTTGTGCGTACACTCAGGTGCATAGTTGTGTGATGCAACGGCTTGGCGTTCCGTGTCTCACTTTAACAAGTTCATAAGTTCAAGGTGTGAGAGTATGATCCATTTCACCTTCAGAGTTCCAGGCTCATGCTCAACAGAAAATAATGTACAGTGTATTTTGAGGACTGGAACTTGATGTCTAGATGTTTATTTACAGGTACATGCATAGTACATGCACCTGGTATATTTGTACCATGCATGATCAGGAACTTTGGTCATGTACACTTCCATGTATTCACCTCTTATAGTTTAACGTATGCACTGTGCACATTGTGTTATTGTTATATTATTTATTGAGCCAATGCAGAAAACATACATGTATAAGGCAAGAAAACAATGACAAAAAATGGCCACATTGGCAGGGGCCAGCAAAAGTGAAATTATCACTTGACCGGCTGACCCATACATGTAAATGTGATTAAATCTGCATGTTCATGCATTTACTTGTACATGTATCATACCAGAACATGTACACTTACAATGTGTTACTATACTGAGGAGTAATGTACATGTACAGCGTTTCCTTCCAAAATATAACTGCTTTTCCTTTACCTAAATTGTCCCCTGGTCACTGCCACCTGACTTTCAGACCTGTTCTGGACTTTTGTGTTTCAAACAACTGCACAGTTGTTTCACATTGATTGTAAATTGTATTAATCACAAAGCAGTCATAATTTTCAAGATCACCTGAAAATTGTATGGTCACTCAAAGCTTTAGAAATAGTCTGGTACATGTGCCGGTACTTTCCAGTGACTGAAAGTGTGTTAAATTGTCTGTACTTGTTCAGTATACATGTACATATGTGTCCCTGAGGCTTCTAAGCCCAAAGCTGTATTAGTGTGCATTGTATGTAGATTGTCTCTACATGTTTCATACTTGAATATACATGTATGTACCTGCACTTAATACCAGCTACTTGAATGAAGGTCACAAGTGCGACCTCTGGGTCACACTTTAATACACCCAAACTCATTGCCATTGTATTTTGTGTGCAGGAGATAGATTTAGCAGTCACATGTTTCTGTCACTCTCTGACCATTTAACATGTTTGCCTCAACAAATGTGGATGATACTTATATAGCTGAGCTGACCATGAAAAGTTGCAAGCTATTCTGGGATGATGTTCAAACACTTTTTGTGTAATTTCTCCTTCCTCTTTACATGTGCATGTAAAGTACATTTTGTACATTCCCGTTACACATGACCTGTTTAATTTGACATGGAAATATCAATAAAATTTGGATTTCATTGCCAGGTACATGTACTTTGATCACTCTTGGAAATTGAAGAATTTGTTCCAAACATACAAAATCATATGTCAGATGTGACAGGGACACGAAAAACACGTGCATGTTTTTTCGTGTCCCTGTGACATAAGAGACATTCATACTGCTTGAAAATCCGCACTCATTACATGTACCGTGCGTGCGTGTACAGTGTGCATTCCAAGATTTATTGTTGAAGTCTGTCTTTGGATGCCTGCATACTTGGCCCAGTCATGGCACAGCAACATGTATGTGCATGTACATGTTGTACATGCCCACGATGACTAGCATTTGTGCCCTGCGACTGATTAGCCGGGTTGCTATGTTTGGCGGATGAGCTCGGACATTCAGGAAGCGTTATGGGAGTGTTTAACGGGTGTGGATTTTTTTTTTTTTTAGTTTTCAGTGCATGTCCAAAAATGGGTATGTGGGAACTTGTGCAATAATTGCGACTTGCTTATGACTGCTGAGGGGCACTATTTTCCATGGATTTGCCGCTTGTTGTGTTAATGCACTGTGGTACCAGTACTGTAGTTACTCACTTTCACAGTACTCTTAAGTAAACTGTACATGCATGTACAGTGTACATGCACATGTATTATAGCTGTCTCTGTTCGCTGTCAAAACATTTTCACCAAATGGGTGTGGTACAGCTTACTTTGATGTTAAAGGTACAAACCCCAACCACTCTGCCAGGCACCCGCAGAATCCACTTGTAAGGAGATCAGATCTGTACACTTTGATTTTACAAGAGACTTCAAGGCCTGTGTGAAATACAGTGTAGTGGCTTGGCCACAAATCTCCCCGACTGTGCTGTTGGAGTTGAAAAGATCTGGGGTTTCGGGTAGGTTAGGGTTAACTTAAATGCACATGCATTTGTAGATGTCCTGGAAACCACAGCTTCTGGTACAGAACTGATCTGTGAGGTGTGCAAATGCCCATTTAGTCTTGCCCCAAGACTGGTTTTTCTGTTTTGGTCAGTGCACCGTGCAGGCGACATGCGCTTGTGAGCACAGCCGAATAGTAGTACCAGTAGAGGGTGCTATATTCATAGGAGACGACCTGCAAGAAAACCAGTCTTGTAGAATTGGACAGGCTTACCCGAAAAATTGCGAGCATACACTGTACCTCACTGCTGAAGACTGCGCGCCAGGCCGACTATGGTGCACCAACAAAAACAGTAAAACCAGTCTTGGGGCAAGACTAATGCACATTGTGTATTTATATAACAAGATAACATAGTTTTTCCCTTTTTTATCCACAGATCCATGCCGGGCTTAGTAAGCACAGGTATCAAGCGCAAACACCATGCGCTGGACGAAGGTGGGGGGAGTGATGCCAAGGAGTGCATCACCAGTTGCTATGGCGCCCCGGCCCCGTCTCAAGACAAGTGCTCTTCCTACACTATGCAACGCAAGTGCGTGATGAACGCCTCCATCTGCAAGCTCCAGGCCACCTGCAAACTCATCGACCCGTCACTGCGCCGGTCCGTGCTCATCCGCAACACTCTGCTGCACATTGACCATGAGTTGCGCGCCGAGGGCCGACACCAGGACTCCTTCCAGCTCTCCACGTTCATAGCCAGCACACAGTCCACGTGCACGGACACAGCTGACAAGGACCGGCTTCCGGGTGCCGATGCAAACGGCGCCTTCACCTTGGCCAAGGACAACAACAGTAACCACTTCCGAGATGTACACTCCCGCGATTGTGCCAAGATGTTAGTAAATGGGCACCTGGATACGAATAGTCTCTTGAGCAGAACTTCCACCCATTCTTGTGCTAACACTTCATCACTGACATTATCAACTGCAACCGCAGCATCGACAACTATCTCAAACTTTACGACAGTACAATCAAACGTGCATTTAACAACAAACATGGTGCTGCTGAATTCGGGAAGTCACCCTACGACTCCGATAGCCAACTCAGAACTCACAAGACTTCCAGCAACCAACCCAGAGATATTTGACTTTGGGGATGAGCTCTTTAGTGACATTGACATGTCGCTGTATGACTTTGACATTGCCTCACCTGTTGTATCGAATCAAAGAGTGTCTCCTGTTACCCCACTGAGCAGCAGCAGCGGCAGCATCTGCAGCTCCAGCAGTAACTCGGAGGACTGGCTGCGGCCCCTCTCTGGGGACTACACATTCAGCTCAGATGTGAGCACAGCAACAACTACAACGACCAGCCAGGGTAGCAATTGCCGCAGTGACATTGTGTGCGATGAGCTTGATCAGATTATGCATGTCTTAGTGGATGTGGGAATGTGAAAGAAATTTGTGTGTCACAAGAAAATACCAGCATGTCATCAGTTCTCAGAGGTACATGTACTTCATGCAAACACCAGCTTTTTTGATCACCAGGTAAAAGAAATAAAACACAATTCTGAAATAACTATGCAAATTCAACATCTGATCGCAATAAGGAAACTCCGAAATGCAATAACTTAAAATAAATTTTGATAAAGAGGAAAATATTCATAATTTCACATGTGCATAAAAAAAAAAAGAACAACCCCCAAATATGTTTGTGAGATCCATAGTAGCCGTTTTCAGAAGTTTTTATAGTTAGGCCGATTTTTTTTTTTGGGGGGGGGTCGATTGTGACCTGAGTAAAAGTGTTGGTGCCACAGGATCTTTGGCACCACCCACAGCAACTCAAGTGGCATCATGACTGGAATGACTCAGGCCTGATCAGCATGGGTGAGCCAGCAACAACACATCCTACACAGCCATGTGAGCCTTGCAATTTCTTGACCTGCAAACAGACAGGTCCCTTGCACAGAAGTCTGGATTTCTGCCAAGGCCTTTTTTTGGGGGGGGAAACAAAGGCTGAGGTGGCACTGGTTGCATTTACACAAACGCCACTCAGAATCTAATATATGTACATTTACTAGAAGATCTTTGAATACAATACAGCTGGGGTTTGACCCAACAGCTGTATTCAGTGGAGGGGAATTTCACCTCACAATCCAGAGTCCTTGGGGGTTTCTTGAAGAGTGAAAAGTGTTGGGACTCTAACAAAAGAGGTACAGGTATATAGTTGTGAATCGCAGTCAAAAACCCACTGGATCGCATTGAGTTTTGGGGTCCTACTGATGTTTAAGCAAAGTGCAGAAATTGTATATTTTTAAGCTGGTGTACATGAGGAAGATGAAGCACCCACTGTACATGTATGTAGAAGCACACATTGGTTGCCAATATGTGTACTTTTCGGCACACATTTGGCTGAATTCATGTGCCTGTTAACATGTACACATAAATCCTGTGTACTTTCAATCTTGAGTCTTTCCATTTCCATCACATTTTCACTGCTCTGTCAGTCACAATTTTATTGATCGTTGGTATGATTATTGGTATCATCTGACGACATGCTGGTACCGGTAGTGTTGTGTCATTAGATTGGTTGTATGTCATTTTTAATGTTCATGCAGGCCTACATTACAGGTGCCACAGTTTTGTATCATCCACTCCCAGTTGTGTTTGGAGACATGACAGGCAAACTCTTCTTTCAACATTTTTTTGGGTGGGTGCTGTTATGGTTGAACTCGGAACCTGACTCCTGCAAGTTGCTGTCAAATCTAAAATTCAGAATATCTTTTAAAGTTGATCAACCACACTACATTAACTTTCACTCTCTTTTGGCCTTTTCGTTTTAACAGAGTTTAGGTGGAATAATGGAACAAGTCATGTGTATTATACACATACGTGTACACTGGAAACGCCAAATTCTATGTCCATTCTAAACAAGATTTGTGAAGCTTTCTTTGAGTGGAAAGAAAAATACATTGACAGTTTTCAGTTAAAAAGTGAATGTTACGTTTTGAAAAAAACTGAGGCCCCTGTGTGTCTACTGCACAATACATACCTATGTATTTACACATGTAGGCCAGCACATCTGACTGGCAAGACCTTTACATGTATGCGACTATTATCACGCCATTGCATTTATGAACCGCACAAGTATGGATGAGTAAAGGTACAAGACTTCCAAGTATTTTAAAAGGATAAGAAGAGGAGTTACATGTGCCACATGCATGTAGAGAGGACTGTTTCAATGTTTCTTTCAAAGAGTAATTATACAAAACGTTGTACATATCTAACTGTAAGAGTAACGTCGTATTTTTTATTACGGTATGCAACAGTATCTTCCAAGTTGCGTTCAAATAGGCGACTTGAATTTGGTAAGAAAAGTTTTTATGAACTATAGTAAATTATGTAAGATACAGTAATATATTTCTCAGATAATTTAACTTATTAAAAACAAATGTCTTTTTATTCTTTGTAGGAAAAAAAGTGCTGCGGATCAATCAATATCGTGGTCACACTTTTACTTTCTATGTTAAACAGAAATTTCAGAATGAAAAAGAAAGTTGGATTCAGTCAAAAATTCCATGAGATCTGTTCAGTTGTGAAGTGATTGTAGATTTTAGCATTTGTTTTTAGTACATTTTAGTTTTGTCGCTGTTTGATTGAAATATGATGGTATTATACATATACCACTTCAATATGTACATGTACATGAACAGTGTGCATATGCATTTGTGTGTGTTAAGTACATGTACATTGTACATGTACGTATACATGCATTACACTGTTGTTGGGTTTAAGCCTTAGCTATTAAACAAACTGAAATTTTTGTGACCAAATTTTCCACTGTATTCTAACGTGAAAATCACAACAAAATAACAAAAAAAGTTTAGGAACAAGGTACATGAACATATACCTAAATTCAATTCGGACTCTCCAAGGTGTCTATATTTTGTTACAGAATGGCTGCATTAATGTACATTTGTACATGTATCAGACAAGGTTTTCAACAATTTCTGATGATGTGTTATCAAAGGATGTGTGTCATGTCAACAAGTTTCATTAGAAATACATGTATGAAAAAAAGAACGTGAACCAAATTGCATTTTTGTGTACCTCACCCACCATCAGAAAGTGGCAGTTAAATTATGCAATTTAGCATTTAATATAAAAAGACTCGGAAAATATTTGTTTTAGAATTTAGACTCCACTCACCCCTTTCCATTTTTTTCTTTACTTTGGAACTCATTCTCACGATACTTTGGGTCATGTCAAAATAAAAAATCCTCTCTCTTATGGATCCCATCTCCTTATTTCATCGTGCATAAGAATGCATCCCTTCTCAAGTTTTCTTTTTTACCAATGCACACTTGGAATGTATTCTGATTCACCTGGAAGCCAGAAGTAGTTGGAAGCACATGTAAAGAAAAATGATTTTGTTGCTGAAAAGGAAGTACATGTACACGTAAATGGTACCTGACGTGAACATGAACACCCTCCATGAGATCACCATTCAGCACACTGCATTACAGTGATCCATTGCTTAAAACACATCTGTGTACATGTACACATGTACGCGTACATGCAGAGGTGACTTTTGACATGTATAATTACACATGCATAACTTCGTCTGTGACACAACCCACAATCTGCTTGCAGTGATAAACATGATTTATGGATTGGGTTACTTTTACTCAAGTGATCGATTCAGCGTTCAGTATAGAAACCATCAATTGTCTCATGCTTTGGGTATCTTCAAAACATATTTACACTTATTGCCGTCATGAATTGTTCCTCTGTCCAGATGTAGGCTTGGAGTTGACTAGGTGGCACTACCAGTAATTTACACTTTCCAGAACTTCCTGCATAAAAAGAATTTCTGTGCTTCCTAGCATTTCCTAACACATGTAGACTAGTAGTTGCTGTTGATCAGTGATAAAGCTTTCCTAAAAATGACTTTCACAATCTCCTTTGTGTTTCCTTATTGGTTAAGGTTTTGCTTGTGTAGTAATTTTTCAATATCAAGAATGAAAAGGGGAAAACTAATTTCATAACCCAAGAGATGCTAATGGAAAAGGATAATTTCTTTGAAGAGTGTAAGAATTTGTCTGTCGGGAGGGAGATTATGGCTTTGTTTTTTACCCCTCCATCCTCAAAGCCTGACAAGGAAGCACAAATCATGCTGTCAGGAATTGGGGGGTTTGTGACCCCTGGGTCGAGCTGGCTTCCGCTTGTTGTCGCCCCTCAGAAAAAGCAGAAGGAAATTAGGATTGGCATGGCAACCTATTCACTGTCATTAAGCTCTGGAACTCCCAAGATCCAGGGAGTTTTTTCCCCCTGGTCTTTATCTAGTCTGAGATAAAATACATGTAGTATCTTAATGATTACCTAACGTTCGTCGTTACTTCATAGCTTGGACTTCCTGTTTCTTGTTCATTAGTAGAACCTGGTTTTTGTTGGAACTTGGATTTACCTTGATTCTTGTTCCTTCATTTGCTTCCAACCTTTTGTGAGACAATGGTGAACTCTGTGTACTTATCGTATCTAGTTCTTTGCTACAAGGTACAAGATGAATGTGTATGAGACTTTGTTCTCCAAAAGTTTCTTTTTTGTGTATGCATGGGAATATTTCAAAACTAACAATGATGTTAGAAAAAAAGATGAAACATACTATTCGTACATAGTCTGACTATTGTTTTCAGTATGTTGGGTAGTTTACTTTTAAATAAAAATCCCAGGTTTGGTCATTAACATGCACCAATATTTTAGAATGAAGACAAATCATTGAATCAATGCCTGATAAGAATTCTATTCAGTGAGATCTTCCTTAGTGACCTTTTGACCTCAAGAATGTTTGGACATTCCTAACCAATGAACAACACTCTCACTAGTCGTATGCCATTTGTACACAGTGCACATGTACACCTACATGTACATGTACTTAACAGCCATTCCCAGGGATTGCACATTAAGTATTCATTGGCACTGCCAACCCTAACCTTTGTCACCTTTCCCTGAACTGTCAGGTGAGAAATGCCTGTAGTGAGTGGAATTAGCAGAACATCTTTAATGAGTATTGGCAGAGGGTAAATGGTTGATTATTATGAAGACAAAAATTTACCCATTAACATGCACAGGTTATCATGCAGGGGTGAAGTTCAGCATGTTGGTGTCTGATTCCTCCATAGTCATATTCTATGCAAACGGTGAATAAGCAGTTTCTATAACCCATCTGAGATGAACTTGTAAAATTGCCCACTAAAAACACGAATTTTGATTTTTTTCTTTAAGTCAATAAGATTCATATGCTAGAGCAGAATCAGACGTTGCAGAAAGAGTAATTTTGTTTTGTTTTAGAGATGGGGGACGGTGATTGATCAGTAATTCATGGGGATACATACCTAGTTGTTCCAATCAGTTTGTCTCTCTTGGTAGTATAAATTCATTGGCAGTGCATGCCATTAGCCTGCCATTCTGATTATAATTTATGTGTCACTAGTCGTGCTTGACCTGACCATGTTAGGTACCTGTTTACTGTGCATATACTTGCCTACAGGGCTTTGCTGGTGCAACTCCAGTGTACATGTACATGTACATGTAGGCCTACATACTAGCAGAATGTCTTGGGTGTCTAACTGGAAATGGCATTATTGTGTGTGAAGAGGGGGAGGGTATTATGTACATGTAGACTGGGTCCATGGCTGAATTCGCGGAAAGGAATTTCATTTGTATTTGTATTACAATCAGCAGGAAAAATAATCTGGGAATATTTGGCCACCATTTCTTTATTTCAATTGAAACTGATTGCCAGTGGTGAAGTCATTTGGGCATGCCATTGGAGAAGAAAACAATCATTTACGCAAATAGGTTGCCTCTTATCTTTTCTTAATTACATGTTGAATTTGTGGTGAAATGTAACCGTGGGCAGGCCCATTGTCATGACAGGCTAAAACGTGAAACACAGATTGTGAAATCAAATTGAGAAGAAATCAATACTGTGATACTTTTTAATCAGTGACACAGTGAATTCATCTACCTATCAAACATGTACATATACATGTTCATGTACATGTTACAGGCATATCAGGACAACTTGTATCTTTCCCCATTCAATTCTTGTAGTGGAACCTATAGTCACTGAATATTAATCCAGTAAGTGAAGAATATCGGTTGCCACCAAAACCTCTTACATTTGGGGTACAGTATACTGTATAAGTGCTTTTTTATCCCTTCCAAAAATTTGTTTCAACAAGGACATTGCAAGTTCTTTTAATGTGCACTATATTAAAAAAGATTTCTCCTATACAGTTTGTTTTTAATACATGGAACGTTTTTGTAGTGTTTTATAGCATTGATTTGTCAGGTTTCTGTATACCAAAATTTAATGGTACCACTGGAAAATTTGTTTTTCAGTTTAATTATTGTCCAAAAAGGCTGCAGCTAGTTTGTGTGTCAAAAAGATTGTGTGCGTGTTTGTGGTGGTGTAGGAGGTCAGGGGTCAAAGGGAGAGACCTACATGTAGTGTACAACATGCTGTTAATGTTTGCCCCGCTGGGAAAGTACATGTAACTGCCTCACCCTTTTTTCTTCCCTGACCAGTTCCTCAAATCGCATTCCGAATTAACGACAATTGTTTAAAAGCCCATCTGTACAGTTTGTATTGCATATTGCTGAGATGTACCCTATGTACATGTATCTTGAAATGCCAATGATAAAAAGCCATCGTCTAATTAATTTATGATTGTCTGCATTAAGCAGTTTCATTCAATCATTAATTTATTTTGTTAAGACTATACAGTGTTGTTTTTTTTATTATTTGTAAATTATTTGTGTACATACAGTGCTTATGTTTCCTTTAAGGCTTTGCTGTAGCTGTTTACTGCTTTATTTATATTTGCATTTGTGAGAGAAAGCCAGAATGAGTGAGTGCTGATCATTTGCCTGATTATGATGTACACGTAGTGATATTGCTTTTGAGTCTGGCTGGGGTATAGTGTACTTTATTCAGGGTATTTGTCACAAAGTGTTCTGTGATTGTAGCCGGTGTCACACTGCCCAGATTGCTCACAGGATCAGCTCTGTGCTTTGGGCCTAGATCACTGTTGTGTACCCCATTCACTGTTGTGTGGAGGTATAGTCAAGGCAATAACCAAGGCCTGCGACTGACCTTGCCCACCGATGCGCTTGACCTTTACCTTAACTGTCAGTTCACTGGACCCTGACCTGTGTATTTGTTCATTGGAGTGCAATTTCATTCAAGGGAAAAACATCCATGCACTCACTACAGTAGTAGAAAAGTACACCGTCTCTCTGCACTTTGTGGGATTCCACACAGCCCCAGCGTGCTGTCTTGTAGAATGTGAAATGTAAAGCCGGGTGATTTTGCAGCATGTCCCAGCCACAGTTGGCCAGATGCATCACAGATAGTAGCAGTCCCCATAGGGCAGAGCCACATTGGCTTCCACGAAGTGGCATAAGGAGGAATAATGTGCATGGGAAATGAATGTACCACCACTGTTCCGCGCTCGGCCGTGGGGGAATCAGTCCGTGTTGAATAGGGTTCACAGATTTCCAGGAACAGTTAAAGAGGTCCTGGAAAGTCTCTGTTTGTTGGGTTGCTTGTGTTGGCGCATGTGTGGGCCCATGTGTGGCAGTTGTTTGCTATGCATAAGTACACGTAGCACTTTTAAAGAATTTGAGCAAATGTCTGGTTTGGATACTGTAGTTTTGAGTGGAGGAAAAAGTTCAGGTAAAAGAATTTACCAGAATGTGTGAATTGCAGTTTTATATCTTGTTTTGGTCATGTTATCGTGAAAATAGGCTTACATGTTATTCTGATGCATTTGAGTTGCATGGTGTAGGAAAGATTATTTGGAAGTAAACATGGCCTAGTAATTAGTGAACAACATTTCAAAATTGAAAGAAACATTACTATGAACTTAAACTGCTGAATCCTAAACTCAAAAGCTATATTAATGCAGGCTTTGTGGATGTAAAGAGGCAGGGATGAGGAAAGTAATATATGAGTAGAATTTTTAAACGAAAAAAAAAAGTGACTTTGGAAAAATGACTGAAGTGTCTTCCTTGGAACTGGAAAAGGACGTGGAGAGATGTGAATTTGTTAGATCACCACATGAGATTTATCAACTTATGCAGTTCACACTAGTCTAACTTGACCAAACTGTGAAGTTGAGGCATCAAAAAGGTTGCACTGTGTGGAAAAAACTGAAGGGGAGCATGCTTCTAAAATATACAGGTAACACTTGAACTTGTTATTGGCAGGCCATTAAACAATTTGTACACCTCAGCCCAGAGTAAATACAGTCCCTCAATGGAAGATTTGTGGTTTGATATGGAAAGAGGAGACCTGAAGTGCACTTTGTTACATCTTTTTTTTTTATGTACGATACTTCTAAAGTTCTAAAACAATTAAGAGCATACCTCTACAACGCAAAGGCTGACAAAAGCATCGTTCAGGTTTTTTCCCCAAATGCAGCAGTTTTGTGAATTACATTGGAATACCTTTTGCAGTTTTATAATAATCCTTTTACAGTTTCGATATACGTGCAGCAGAGTTGTTAGAAATGTGTCGATTCCTCGCATGTTTTGTGTAAATGGTTGTGTTCATTTCAAATTTGTAACTTTTTCATTTACACAAAGCCTGGTAACTTCTGTGTAGAGTTGGGAAATTTATATCTTCTTATCAGTCACTAAGGAAGTATTCAAAATTCAGCCCATCAGAAGTGATGTCCATGTGTATGGTAAACCTTTCTTGCAGTTGCGAAAAAAATAATTAAAGCCAAAGAACATTTTTCACCTTGCCCAACAAAATGAGTCACAAGTCACCAGAACTGCTTTTGACTTTTAAGGTCTTGGACTGCATGAAATCAACAATAGGAACCCCAAACTTTTTTCACCCACATGATGTCCATTTTTATCAGGGTTTCAAACCAAGTGATACATCAAAAAAAAAGCTCAGTTTGTTCTTTCTATTGCAGAATTACTGACGAATGGCTTAAGACTCATTTTGTTGTATCTAGTCGCATTTGGGTTATCACTTTTTACATGTTGTTGTATAGATGTTTATTCTACACAGCTTGGCTAAGTATTTAAAATAATTAAGCATTCAATCTCGGGGTGTTTTGGGGAATTAAATATTTTGATACAATTTGAATGTGTGGTATCTGTGCCCATAGTGAATGTGTTATGCTACTACCATTCAGTATTTTTACATGACAAGGTTTCTCACTACTTTTTTTTCCTCAGAAAGACCACCTGCAGCAAAATTTCGTACCCATGCCCTATACGATAGAAAGAAGCTAACCAAGGGTTTATTATTAGAATGAAGTGCCAGACGAAAGTAATGTAAATGGGTTTATTATGGACATCATGTAGTTGTAAATTGAACTTAATTTATTCCTCTAGTGACAGTATTTTCATGTAATACTTTTTAAAGGTAACTGTATGGAGACATTGTGCGTGCTTTACTACATAAGCGTATGCTGTACAGGTATAGTGCTTTGTATAATAATAAATGCACATGGAATGTATACATGACTGCCGTTTTGGTGGGAAATATCGTAATAAATGTTTAAAAACTGAAAGGTGTCTTGCTGTCTGGAGATGTTAGTGTTGATGCATTGTGGCTGTTTATGTTCAAAGCTGAAGGGACCACAGTTGTTCCCTGCCCATTGGAGTCATTTATATGTGTAGGTACAGGTATTTGAGACATTTTGTGCACAGCAGTTACAGTTGGGGGATGTATCTTTCCTAACCCCCCCCCTATACCCTTTGGGTGTGGATGGGCGAGTACGATCTACCAGATGTCAACTTGATCACCAAAGTTGCCAAGTACATGTATGTCCTTACTCTCTTCAGGCTCAACGCTTATACTAAAAAGTATCAAGCGAGAAGCCTGAATACAATGCCTTCTTTGTAGGTTCTCTTTCCTTCAAAGAGCCCCATTTGCACAGATGAGCAGTAACAATATCAAATACCCAGTCAAATATGGGGCACCATGGTTTCCTTACGGGACTGCTTACCATGGGACTGGGTTAAACAGCACAGTAGAGTGATAAACCATTATCAGTGCCTGTAGAAACTCCAGAAATTTTTTTAAAGTTAACCAACTTGAGACTACATTGCCTTGACCAATCAGTGGTTTTGTTAGGTATGATGTTACGCAATGGCTGGCATGGTCAAATACTCCTCTGACCTTTGATTGTTCCTGTGATGTGCCACTTGATTTGCTTTTGAGTGTAATTCATACCTATCTGTTCAGGATTCACTGTTAAATAGCATATTTCAACAACACAAGTTGACTGAATTTCAGTAATCTTGCACCTTACAAATTTCAACAAATTAAAACACAAAAGACTCCCTTGCCTTCACCGTTTTTATTTTAAATGTACCGACAAACGTTTTCCGTGAGAATACAGTTGACTTTTCCAAAGTAATAAAAATAGTTATATTTTCAGATTTTTTAAGATGAAGCCTTTGCTATGAGAATATATAAAACTAATGCATAGACTTTGATATACGCAACTTTTAAAAAATGAAAGACATGGCTGCACTGCAGAATGGCTAGAAAATATTTGTCTATTTTAATAATATTTGTCTATTTCTAAAATATAAATTGCTTACAGTAGTATGTTTCAAAGAAATATAAACCTTATACCCATCAATTTTCCAAACTTGGAATTCTAGAGTATAAAATGATTTAAAAATATGAGTGTATATAACCTGATAGGGGGTGGAGTCATTTCAAGAAAAGGAAGAAGGGAAGGTTACAGTGTCACTTTGAAGATCTTAATCAACGACGGTTTCAGTTTTCCTTGGAAAACAGTCACTCGTGGTGGCAACTCAAGTTGTTACTGCTGCTCCTCATATTTTGAACCCATCTTTTTGGATTTTAAACACTCTTGTCAAACTGTCACTGTGTTTTGTGGGTCCACATCCGGCGTAATCGACAAGAATTGCTTTAAAACTTCAAAAGTCAACACAAGGTCCTCCAGTTAACAGTCTATGGTTCTTTTCTTTTGATGCCTTGCTTTAGACCCTCATTTCCACATATTTTCCCTAAGTTCCCATTTTTATTTTGACAAAATAAACAACTCTCCACTGAAATTTCAACTAGAATCATCTGAAGATCAGACTCTTAAGACATATATGAAAAATTAATAAAATCAGTTGCTTGGCACTGTTCAAAAAAAGGACTTTAGAAAATATACACCCTTTCAAGGCTGTTTAGCGGGCGACTGGGTTGTACACAACACGGCCTGCAACACTGCTCTCATCATTCTGTTGGAAGCAAAATGAAATAACATACTTCAGGCACATTTTAAAATACACGTCTTGAAAACACTGGTAGCCAAAGAACATATCACCAATATGTAAACCTTTCTAATTTACCGATTAGTGAATCTTGGTCAAGTAAATTTTGGTCAAGGCATTCAATGATGGTCAAGATGATGGACACTAGCAGATATATCTTCTCAAGGCTTGACAGAGGCTTTATGAACAGGTTAAATGGAATAAGCGAGCAGTGGGCTTTGGGTAACTTTTGCCTCCTTGCCACACGTCACAGTTTGGAAGAAGATAGAGGTCAAACTCAGTAACAGCATAGCAAGAACCTGTTCATGGGGAAAGGCTAGAGCATTACAGGAAAAATTCCTCACCCCCTTCTATCCGAACTAAACCCACATTATCTGAACTCACCAAAGGATCCCCCATATACTGTGCTTCTATTCCTGTCGCTATGTAGGGTCGGATGAACTCCTGTCGGCCTGGCAAACCCTGATCAAAGAAAGCGCAATAGTTGAAGAATGATTACAATACATGAAAAGGGTGCATTTTGTTCAAACAGGCAGAAATTAAGACCAGCCAGTAATCTCACTGTAGGGGGACGTAGGTCCCAGGAATTTCTTAATAACACTGTTATCTTCTTTGTTTTTCAAATTTCCAGTGGGAGGCGACGATTTTCAATGGATGGTTACCCCCTAGCCTCCCTTGGCTACACTGCCGGTATCAGCTGAATAAGTCAAACCGCATACACATTCATGGAAACAAAAGTCTTTTGCTCTTACCATTTCCTCACAATCTTTCATTTAATATAGATTGTGCTCTGTGCACTTTAGTGATGAAAGCAAAATCCAGTAGCGAAATGGACATCACTCAAGCAAAGTTCATTCAAATTTGGCAGATGCCCACAATGTGCACAATTTTCAAATAGTGGTTGAGATGGGCAACACAGCTTATAACATCCTTTATCCACAGAGCCAATTTCAAAATTCATACATCCAACTGAAAGTTGGCACACTATATTTGCGCCTGAACACTTACTAAATTAACAAAGTATGGTGAATGAAGGATCATTTGAAAGCTTATAACATCCTCTATGCTATTATATATTTCAAACTGTTTTAAAATGATCATGCAAAGAAAGTGATCATAATCTAAAGTGCTTCCTATTTGTAAAATCTCAACATCTGACCAGTTGTACCTGCTGAACATATGGTGAGCGACTCATGATACTCATCAGACGATCCATTCTTTGCTCGTCCTCTGCCAACTGAGACGTGTGATGTGAAACCTGGCTGCGACGATCATAGTCATCCAGGCCATATTTGTACCGTGTGTCGTAGGGCAAGCTGCCTCGCTGACTGTAGGCCAGGCCCTTCTCATACCGCTGGCGTAGCACAAGACAACAGCAGAGGATCAGGCCCAGCAACGCGAAGAGAGAAACGACAACGCCGACTATGATGAGCACTGCGGCTAGAGTTGATGGCCTATCTGTGAACATCCAATTAAAGAGAGGTAAAGAGAGGTGGACAGCACACGGCTTACATGGCCAAGATCGGCATACCAACTATAAAATAGTCCTTTCCTGGATCTATTTCTTCACAGTTTCTTTTACCCAAAACCTTGGCAGCATATTTCCAAAGGTAAAGTACAACTTAATATTTACAGAGCCATCTCAGCTACAAATTATCAAAAATATTCATTCAAATAATACTTCACTTATATTGAGTCCACCTTCTCTCAATGAGTAGCAAAAACAAGGTAGTATGAAGAAAGCAAGATTTTACATTTGCTTTATGTTTGGTTTTATAGTCTTACAGACTGGATATGGCCAGCGACCATGACAAACAATATCAGAGTCCTAGTTACTTCAACTAAGGTTTCTTAGGTTTTTCAAAATAATAGTGCAGCAAATTGGACTTATAACCAAAACAGGTACCTGGCAGACAAAGTTCTAAGGGGCGTACTAGAGGCTCTACTCCCCCAAACATTTGTCTAGCCACCCCCCCAAAAGAATTAAAAAAAAAGACCAAGCATTAGCAGAAGTAATGTGCAATGGGTTTAGCCCCCAAAGAAATTTGGCTCTAGAATTGTGCCTGGTACCTGCAGGTGTTGGAATGCAGTCTAATATTGATGGAGATCTGGTAGGCTATTCTCAGGTCTTATGTCACTGTTTAATCAGCCATGTTGGATATATATTGCTATTGGATATATATTATATTACCGACCGAGTTGAATTAACGCATACACACTCTTGATTTATCCCCGTTTTAAATATACTCTATTATTTATGTTTAACTGATTACTGCGTTTACAACTTAAGGTCTCTCCACAGAATGGATGGAGGCTTTGATGGAGCAAAATGGGCACATCCCTGCCATGCTAGTGAGTTCTAGATCTGCTTGGGAACACAGAAAGTACCCATAAAGATTGCTCCAAAATGCTTCAAGATAAAAACAAAGATACCTTCTGGTGTTGTGGTCGTAGGTGTCTCTGTTGTAAGTAGAGTATTTGTGGTAACAGCTGCAATGAAAAAGGTTCATTGTCATTGGTTCTCCTAGTTGCAACCTGTTTGTTTTAATAATCCTGCCGTGTCAGGTAGGTACTAGTAAA